GCAAAATGAAATTTGGGAGTCTAATTGATATTTTAGAAATAGTTTGAGTGGCAAAATAAAATTTCAAATGAAATTTTGTTACCATATCAGCAACTTCTATTTGATTATGAACAATAGCTAACAGTAGGAGTAAAATTGATCTAAAATCAAATATTTTATGTGCAAAATTGATATTATTGAAAGAATAAAGGTTGAATTGATTTTTGAGTGATAATTTAGTGGGCAAAAGTAATATTTTCTCTATAAGAAATGTGTATTGAAATCCTAAATTTTTTTTGGAGGGTAGATGTGCTTCAGAATTAAGATTTTGATAAACAAAAGCAACGACTTTCTCTCCTCGGATATTAAAAGAGTGTTTGAATGGTTCTTCAGCGTGTCTATCTTAGTTATGTTTGGTTCCTTTCCTGAAAAATTACATAACGGATTACACGAGGAAAATAAAAATTCAATAGTGATTGAGGCTTCTATTTTTGGGAATGCCACTATTCCTAAAGTGATTTGGACCACTCATATGAAAGAGATAAAAATAAAAAATAAAATAAAATAAAATAAAATAAAAAATCAACATATATAAATTCAAGGGTGCGATGGAGGCTCCAAAAATAGAGTTCTCACTTAGGTCTTGTTTGGGAATAGGCTAATTTAGTAATTTTTTGGTTATTTGGTTAAAATATGAGCTAAAAAAACTAGTATGTTTGGGATGACTTTTTGACTTTTTACGAAAAAATGTACAAAAAATAGAGAGAAAAGAAAATCTTTGACTTTTTGATATGTATTATTGACTTTTTAATTAATTTAATAACTTTTTGACTTTTTAATTAAAAGAGAGGGTTCCGAAACGAGCTCATGCTCGTTGAAAATTCTACCTGCTGTTCCCTTTTTTGGGGGGAAAGGATCAGGTTCTTTCATTTCGGACAACTCCCGAACCCAAGAAAAAGGACATGTTGTTTACTTAGTAGGCCAGACCTACCACGTACCTGTGTGCCCATCAAATAAGAAAGAAAAAGAAAAATAGACAAATTATAATTTTTATATTTTTGTACTTATGTCATGTTGATTCTTGTAATTTTAATTGGTTTGATTTTGATATTAAAATAATAATTTTGTCACAATTTGATTCAATTGATTATAATTTTTAATATTATTTTTATGAGAAATACGCATATAATAAACGGCATGTGTTATACTTTAGAGATAAAATTATAATCTTATTCAATTCAGTGAGTCTTCAACTAACTCAAATGATTATTTTCTATCAAAAATCTTAATAGATTTATCAATTGGATCAAATTAATACAAAATTTAAAATTAAGAATCAAAATTAAATCAATTGAAAAGTACAGGAATCAAACTGAGACAAGATATAAAATATAAAGACTATCGATATAATTTACCCAAAAAATATTTTATATAATCGGCATGTCATGTGACTAAATTAAAATGGTATACCATTCCATTTGTCTTGTGATAAAAAGTGATATCAAAGTTTATTGTGACTGAACATTCAATATCTTTGTAGACATACATTTATAACATTACAAATAATGAGTTGAATAATACACTAAATCAATTTAACCGCATGACATATATGTTACATAAAATACTTTTTTTGTCAAATAGAACATAAGGAAAAAAGTGAGAGGAAATATATTTATATGTGTCTCTATACAAGTAGAAAGACACGGCATAAATGGAGGCAAGCGGCACGTTAGTCAATTTGAGGTGTTTGAATCCTCTAGAGTGATCTGGTGAAGTGATCCTTTAGAATGATCCTTTAGGGCGCGACACTTGTCTTACTAATAGAACCAACGCCTCAAATATTGACTAATGCCACAAAACACGAAGGTAAAAATCACCAAACGAACATCTTACTATCAAACACCTAATCAGTAAACAAACATGGTGGGGTAGTGGGCGACGGGATTACGGGCAACGCAATGTGGTTCTTCCTTTACCCTTCCATTTTCTCTCTTTCCTTCGAACTACAAAACAAAGAAATTAAAAAAAAAAAATTCCCTCACCAAAACGAGGGAATGATCTTAGCCCTTGGTTACATTAGTGGGACAAGTGTCATGCCCTAAAGGATCACTTCACCAGATCACTCTAAAGGATCTGAACACCAATTTGAGCTCCACCCAAAATGGGACCCATTTTGCTACACTCTTCTCCTCATGCTTCTCTCTCCTCTTTTTCCCTATCTCTTTCACATTGTCTCTCTTGTCGTCCCCTTACCTCTCCCTACTATGTAGGACTTTGTAAAATAACGCCAAATTCTCTAAAACCGCACTAATTCGCATCAATTTGCACCGCTCTATCTGCTAATTGCGGTTTAAACTTTAAAATTTATAATTCGCCTTCGAAACCACTCCGCCCCGCTATAGTTAATACATATATATTTGTTAACCAATAATGAAATATCAAAGTAAAAATGAGTGTGAGAGAGATTTAAAATGTGAAATTTATTACAAATTAGAAGTTATATATATGAAAAATATTATGTAAAATTAGTTTGTGTTATAAATATGAAAAATATTATGCAAATTAGTATTATATATTATGCAAAGGCTTGATAATTGGTTAAAATATTCTTCAACCCGCCTAAAACCTGCTCAAACCGCAATTTGCTAATTCGCCAATCCGCTAATCTGCCATTCGATTTATAATTTTACTCTCAAATTGTCCTAACCACATTGCGCCCACCCCTACTAACATGCTCCATCACTGACCATCGCCACCAGTAGCAGCTTAAAGTTTTTAGAGTCTTCGAGCAAAACATCAAAATGAGACCTTAACTAATTAAGCTTTTGAAAATTTTGAGGCCTTCAATTATAACTTTTTGAATTTTTTTTATAGACCTTCAGCGACAGTCTAAGTAGCCTAATGGTTGAGTCACCTTTGACCACCCTCTCATTTTCCTCCCTCCCTCTAGCCCCTTATCTCGTTGCTCACCTCATTTTCGTTCTCTCAAAAGCCTCTCAATAACAAACACACCACCAGGCCCAAGGCCTTGTGGATTAATGGCATGAAGGTAAGACATAAGTGTTTGAAAGGAGAGACTAGACACACTTAGGGGTGTAAAAATGGCCCGCCGGTCTGAAGCCCACCCAAAGCCCGACCCATTTAGGCCTAACCAAGTTTGAACCCGAGCCTAGCTCAAACCCCCAAGTCTAGGCCTGGGCTGTGTGTTTTCTGGCCTGGCCCGTGAGCCAAACTTGAGGCCTGATCCAAGCCCACCCAAGGCCCAACGTTATTTTAAAGCTATTTTAGTGAAAAAAGAAATAAAAAAATAAAAAATTGTCGGACTCAGCCCAAGACCAACTTGAGGGTCAAATTTCCTTAGGGCTTGGGCCGAGATTTCGCGCAAGTGGGTTAGTCCGAGCCAGTCCAATTTGTGGCAGGGCCCTGCAAGGCCTAAAGACGGGCCAGACCAAACCTGAATAGGCCATGCCAGGCCGTGTCAAAATTACACCCCTAGACACACTACTAGACTTCTACCAATAAAAAAAAGAAGACAGAAACAAACAATCCCACCACGAGGCAGTATCCATATGGTTAACCCTATACAACCTCATCATTGTTTCCCAATTCTTACTTACAAAAGGTTCTATAATCGGAGATTGCAGAGCAGAGTGGACTATGAAGATGAGAGATGTTGGGGCAACGATCATACAAATACTTCACAAAAGAAAAAAGAAGGGAAAATTATATCAAAATGATGTAATAATTGCTTTGAAAGTGAAATGAATAGGACATATGGACCAACAAGGGATTGCTTCAGTGGTAAGACCTTCAAATTCCTTACTCAAATCCTAGGTTCGAGTCTCCATAACCCATTGTTGGGGTTAAACATACTTCTTAGCGCTCAGAGCACGCGGAAGGCTTTACCTTTGGCCTCGACTTAAGTGCAGTGGGGTTCCTTGTAGATGTGTCGTGGGTGCTATAAGGCAATACTCCTTGGCAAATATGTAGAGTAGCCTACCTGCATATCTATTTTGTTTGAACAAAAAAAAGAAAAAGAAAAAGAAAAAAAAGAATAGGACATATGGGTAACCTTGATATGTACATAAAAAAATGTATAGAAATAAAATAATACTATGATAATTACATTTCTTATATAAGAAAGAGAAAATATTATTTTGCCTCTCAAACTATCATTTAAGAATCAATTCAACTTCTATTCTTTTAATAATATTAATTTTATATCTAAATTATTTGATTTTGTATCAATTTTATCCCGACCATCAATTGTTGTCTATAATCAAACCGTAGTTGCCTATGTGACAATCTTCATTTAAATTTTTATTTTACCTCCCAAACTATCCTAAAATATCAATTAGACCCCGAGCAAAATGAAATTTGGAAGTCTAATTGATATTTTAGAAATAGTTTGAGTGGCAAAATAAAATTTCAAATGAAATTTTGTTACCATATCAGCAACTTCTATTTGATTATGAACAATAGCTAACAGTAGGAGTAAAATTGATCTAAAATCAAATATTTTATGTGCAAAATTGATATTATTGAAAGAATAAAGGTTGAATTGATTTTTGAGTGATAATTTAGTGGGCAAAAGTAATATTTTCTCTATAAGAAATGTGTATTGAAATCCTAAATTTTTTTTGGAGGGAGGGGTCATTATTTACAGTTTTATCAATACTCGGTCTGAGAGTAATAGTTTGCAAGATCCTTATGAAATACAATTCACCTTAACAAATCTCTATTTATAAAAATAATTGGACATAGAGTTGTCAAATTATTTCTAATAAAAGTCTATAAAAATAAAAATTATTTAGTACTTGAAAAACATTATATGTCCGTGGGCCGGGCTTGGGCCCGGATAAGGCAGAAATTCCCATCCTCATGCCCCGGAAGGTGTTTTGTTGCTTCTTATGATTAAATATTTGATTTTTCAAACTGAACTCACACGAAATTACGGCTACGCGGATACAAAATGCGCCCTCTATAAATATTGTTGCAAATACGCCATTACCATTACCAGCAATCTTCATATAAGACTTGTAGTCGCTTGAGAACGTGTCTTTCACCGAGCCAACCTTTGATCTTCTTCGGTATCAGAAGTGAGCTAATATTTTCATGCTACATTAGTTTCTGCACGATATTATTCTTTTATTTCATCTCTCATTGTCATAATAAGGTTGTAACTATTAGACTTGCCTCCGTACACCGTACCATATATCATTCTGCTTTTTGAAACAAATCTCTATTTTTATTTATTTTTTGTTTTTCAAAGCATGTTTACATTATTTGAAACAATCGCGCATGACTCTGTCCTCAAACTACCCACCTGCCTTGATAACCCCAACAAACATAGATGGCACTTGGCATTTGCTACAATCTACTGTTCAAGGGCCATCTCTTCTTGCTTGAAAGCCAAGAACAAGAGAAAGGTCTCCCCTGTTCCATCTAACCGAGTTGTTGTAATCGATGTTTTCGAACCACCACACCCCTGTTTCACCAACATTGATAAGTCAAGCCTCACCCAACTTGTCAAGAAGAAAAATCTAAACCAGCTTGTTGAAAAACATCATGGAGTTCATAGTCTAGCTTCTGATCTCAAAACCAATTTGGAGCTTGGAATAAATGGAGATGACGAAGAAGATATTTCGAGCAGACACGAAGCTTTTGGCACTAACACATATCAAAGGCCTTCCACGAAACGTTTCTATCGTTTCGTGTGGGAGGCTTTGAAAGATCCTACTATTATAATCCTTTTAGTATGTGCAGCTCTTTCACTTGGCTTCGGCATCAAAGAAAATGGGCTAAAAGAAGGGTGGTACGATGGAGGCAGCATATTTTTCGCTGTCTTTCTTGTCATAGCAGTCTCAGCAGGATGTAATTTCAAGCAGAATAGGCAATTTCTCAAGTTATCTAAAGTTAGCAACAATATCGCAATTGATGTTGTGAGAAATGGAAGGAGGCAACAAGTTTCGATTTTTGAAATTGTTGTTGGAGATGTTGTTTGCTTAAAGATTGGAGATCAGGTTCCAGCTGACGGCCTGTTCATAGATGGGCACTCGCTACAAGTTGATGAATCGAGCATGACAGGCGAAAGCGAGCACGTCGAAGTGAATCTTACTAAAAATCCATTCTTGTTTTCGGGTACCAAGGTGGCTGATGGGTTTGGCCGAATGCTTGTGACATCGGTTGGCATGAGCACGACATGGGGTGAGATGATGAGCACAACATTTTGGAGTGTGTGTTCTTTGATTAGTATGTCTCATTCTGTACACATTCTTGGATTAGCAAATTTTGGAGTCTTCCGCCCTAGTGATTTATTTTTTTCTATGGACTTCTGTCATTGATCTTTTGTGTTTTCTAGAGGAATTGACCTATACTAGCATATCATGGGTGATGTTGAGTCTCTTAACCACCTACCATCTTTTTTGCACCTCCATGGCTTTCCCCTTAATTCTTTGCAATCTAGCCATGAGGAAAAGGCTACCTCAGAGTCACCAACCAGGCCATCCTTATTATATCCATGCTTCTCTGGTTCGGTTTCCATACTCTTGAGCGTGTCAGCCACCAATGATTGTGCAAAAAGAAAAAGAAAAAGAAAAAGAAAGAGAAGAAGACAAAATGTGCAAAAGAAAGAAAGAAAAAAAAAAAAAAAGATTCATTGATTGAGGAGGAGCCTCCGCCTTTACTCACCAAATACCCCTTGATTCCTAGTGGTTTGACTTTCCTTTGGCGTACTTAAGATTCTCTTGTCGGAGGTCCAGCTTTCATATCACTACTAGGATTGAATCTAGTGTTTGTCGAACTCCAAGAGTCACACACACACTTTTTATCATGGGATCTATGCTTTTCACATAATGCATCACTTTCTTGCATGAGGAATCTTCTACAGACTGTGCACATTGTGTTTTCTTGTAATGGTGCTTCTTGGATAGTCTTGTGTGTTTCAAGGTACAAATCAGAAATTCCTTACTTACTCCACCATATTATTTTTATTGTTTTCTTCTTGCTCACTGTTTTCAGTGTTTGTGGTTGTTTTTAGTGAGGGAGAGTTTGGTTCATCTTGATTTGGGTGTGTAAGGAAGTTTGGTTTTTCATTACAAGAGTTGTTTAGCATGAACACTTTGATATGTTGGCTCTTGATTTGGTGTGTAAGTGAGTTTGGTTTTTCATTGCAAGAGTTGTTTAACATGAACACTTTGTTATGTCTGATAAGGGAGACTGGCTATATGTTTTGCATGTTGCTATACACTATTTGCCCTTCTTGTATGTTCATGGTTTTTACATCGTCATATCATTGCTTGTGGGGTTTATGATCTTGCTTTTGTTGTTTGAGAACAGTTGTTCATGAGTCTTAGTTTTCATCTATTCATGTTTTCCATCTCATGTTTCAAGATAATCGTGTCATATGTCTCTTGCTTTTTTATATACTCTTGTGGGACTAATAGTTGTTTTGGAGATTGTGGCACTAATAACTGTTTTGCAGATCTTAATCTTGAAAAAGAAGTTGGCTTTTGTTGGCTGTAATGGGTTGGGGTATTTAGATTTTATTTGTTAGGTGTGTTTTGTCACGGCATTGTCAAAGGGGGAGATTGTTAGGTTTTATTCTTAGCAATCCCGTTTGACAAAACTCCTTTCAGTTGTAATTTTATTCGCTCTTGTATTTCAGTGAGGATATGGGTTTTAGATCCAACCCGAATCAAGCATTTCAGAGAAGTTTGTGATGATAAAGCTTTCAAGATTGCCACTTCGCTGATTATGACGGGGATCGAGCGGGATTGGAAGTTGCCATTCAAAGTTGCCATTCGATCATGTTTTATTTTTCCAGATTTTCCAGTTTTGGCCTGTCCGCTCGAGCGGGACATCGGGCACTCGAGCGTGGATTGGAAGCTCTCAGCATCTCTGCAGTCGCCTGTAAAAATACTGGAATGTGTGATTTTACGCTCGAGCGGATGCTCCTATGCTCGAGCGCATCTCAGTTTATTCGCACGCAGCGCATCTCAGTTTATTCGCACGCAGTTTTTGGTTAGTCCGCTCGAGCGGGCTGTGTTGAGCTCGAACGGAGATCGCGAGACAGATTCTATAAATTCGCGTGATGGGTCAGTTTTTAGAAGAACTTCTCCAGATCTTCTTTTTGGTTTCTAGGGTTTATATCTGGGGATACTTTGGGAGTTTTTCTTTGATGTTTTTATTGAGTTTTCAACTCATGATCTAAAGAGAGTACATCAAAGGTTTGTTTGCTGTACACAAGAGAGAGAGTTATTCTTCAGTTGTGGATTCTGAAGAATTCGAGCCTGAAGCTCTGGTGGAATCCGGAGTGGCTCATCAGAAAGACAATTCCGTGGTGAAGATGGGGTTGGAAGAGGCACATAAAGGTTGGTTCAATTAGGCGTTGTGGATTCGCTAGGTAATTGAGAGTATACCTGTGTAATTCCTTTAATTCTTCTTAGTGGATTGTCTTGTGGCTGTTGCCCGTGGTTTTTTGATCACAGTTGGAGGTGTCCAATTGTGGTTTTTTCCACGTTAAATCGCTGTATCTCTTTGTCTTGATTGTTTGATTGTTTGATTGGGATTGTTATATTCTGCTTAAAATTGATACATAATCACAAATCAACATCTAGGGAATTTCTAGATTTTTCAAATACAAATGTCAACAACACGCTAATCTTCAATACTTTTGTGCTTTGCCAAGTTTTCAACGAATTCAATGCAAGGAAGCTTGAGAAGAAGAATGTCTTCAAGGAAATACATAGGAGCAAGTTGTTTTTGGCGATCATTGGGATTACCATTGTTCTTCAAGTGGTGATGGTGGAATTCCTGAAGAAATTTGCAAGTACAGAGAGGTTGAATTGGTGGCAGTGGGTAGTATGTATCGGATTTGCTGCAGTATCTTGGCCGATTGGTTGGCTTGTGAAGTGGATACCTGTTCCAGAGAAACCATTTTTCAGCTACCTCAAATGGAGAAATACAAAATACTTGTAAATATGAATAGTTAGGTATTTAATATTTGACGTCATAGACATTGTTAGTTTTATCATTATGTATGTTCAATTACTGTATTATAAGTGACAGTTTAATAAATGAGCAAATAATAAAACTTGCATTGTTTTTTTCTTAGACATACCCGAAGGTACTGTTTCAAATTGTTGCTTTTTTTTTTTTCTTTTTTTTTCATCCTATCTGTGAAGTGTGTTTTTAGTAGGAGGCTTGTGTAATTGTCACTCAGTCACTGTTCAACTATTCACTCAAGTAAGGAGAGATGTTGCAAAAATATTTAAGACGATTGAAGAAGATATGAGAGCAAAGATTAGATGTTGATGGCAAGTCCAGAACAGCGAAGGTAATTGGCAAATGAGCATGGTCTGGAACATCTCTAGCAAATCCTGAAGCAATATCAACAGCTAGAGACAAGACAAATCAATGGCTCTGCTTTTAGTTGAAACTATTATTTTGTAAAATAGGTATGTCCCTTCTTAGCTTTCTATTCAGTGCTTCACTATTAATGAATTATTGATTACCTACCATAAACAAAATGAAGATAAACTTGTTACAGTAATAAGATTTTTTTATTAATTTTTTTTTTTTATAAAGTTTTTGGAAGAAAATTCTTTAAGTTTCCTTGAAAAGCAAAGTTATATTATACCTTATCTGCAAACAGAATTGTGGGCTACACATCTTATCCATATCTATTTTTGTCTTGCGGTCAAACAATAATAAATTCTTAGTTATTTTCGGGTGATTTACTTGGAATCAAGTAGGATGAATCCACATCAACTGGTGTAAATAACCGGGGTAAACAAATCAGTGTGTAATTCGCAACACGCTTATTGGCCTGTTTGTTACAATGTAAACAAGTTGATTAAACTTTCTTCTGCTTTCGAAAACAACAACAAAAAAAAATAAAAATAAATTGTGAGCTTCTCTCTGGTTTCTTGCAGTACTTCTATTTGTATTAAACCTTCAACCCGAAGATAAGAGTTTGGGGGTCCCTACTGAAACAAAAATGAACCGTGTGTCTTTTGTTTTAAGATTAGAGTTTCGGGGCCCCTACTGATCGACATAAATTGTGAACGCACATTGCTTTTTTTCTTGGGAAAAATATTGCTAAAGGTAATGATACTTGGGTTCAAAAAATAAACTATTTTTTCAAAGGAATTGGCTTCTCTTAAGTTATCATGTCAATTTGAGAGAGTGTTCAGATTTGGTAATCTCGTTTTTTAGGGAAATGGGGTGGTTGTTGTGAGGCAATACAAGCCCATTTCGAGATCCGTTTCAATAATCTAAATCGTTCACATTTTAGAATACAATGAGTAGAACATACCTGTAAAAAATCAATTTGGTCAGATATCATTAACCCTTTCATCCACTCACATTTATACTCTGTTTTATACTTCAAATAACAATTGTCATTTATTTTTGTACATACAAATGAATCTCGATGAAATGGTTAACAATGTCCGATCAACTTGATTTTTTATAAGTGTGTTCTACTCAATGTATATTTTAAAATGTGAACAGTTCGGATCATCAAAACGGGATCCAAAATAGGCTCATATTGCCCGCTATTGTTCTCATTTTGAGACCGAATTCAATAATATGAATTGTTTACTTTTTAGGAATTTTTGAATAGAATATTAATGTAAAAAATTATGATGGTATTGAACATCGATAACTATATGTTTGAATCATATTTATTAAAAGAAAAATGAATGATGAATATTATTTCAATAATAACCATTCATTTTTTATAATATAAATTTAATTCAAACATATAATATAACTACCGATATCACTTCTTAACTTTATATTCGTTGCTTCACTATTAATGAATTATTGATTACCTACCAAAAAAATTTTAGTTGAAGAAAAACTTTGTTTCATTAAGACTGTGTTTGGATATCAAATTTTACAAAAAAAATAAAATAAAATAAAGGGGCATTTAGTAATAAATCATATATCCATTATTTATGAACCTTTTAGTCCCATAAATATTCTTATAATTTCATAAGTCCTATTTCATATTAAAATTTCTCAAATCAAGCAATACCCACATTTGAAAAAGTAAAAAGACAATAGTGCACATATTAGAATGATATTCCATTTTTACATTTTAAAAATGACACATTTGACAAAAAGTTAATAAGACAATAATATACACATTAGAATGATGGTATATTGTCACATTTTAAGAATGACAA